AACTTTTCCTTTGCCAGCCAGATCATCCCTAATTGCTCTCCCCTGCTGGCCTGATCATCCTAACTGCTCTTCCATGCAGGCCTGATCACCCCTAACCGCCTGCCTCGGCCTCTGCCCCACAACTGTGGCTTTGTCCAGAAGGATATCCAGAAGATGCCCAGTCTGATTAGCATATTAACCTTTCATTAGTATAAATATAATACACCTTTTCCCCATTATCCTTACAGCAAGCCTTTAGACAAGGCAGATATTGTTATCCATGTATTCAAAGGGAGAAAAGGAGTCTTAGTGAGTTTGAATCTCTTGGTCAAAATCCAACAGCTTGTAAGCAATAGGACTACTACTTGCTATCTGATCTTTGACTCCAAAATCTACATCTCTGTTCATTGCATTGAATGAAAGGATCAGAGTAATGGTTCTCGTTAAGGTTTTGTACTCAAAGAGAAATTTTAACCTCATAAACATTTCCCACTCCAAGGAAAAGCAAAGGCCAGCTTACTCTGTGTGCCATGTTGATCTGACCTGTCAGCATACTGCCTCAGTGCTTGCAAATCCAAGGAAGCCTGACCATAAATAAACAACATCCTAACCAAGGCTTACCCTATGGCTTCTCAGTAACACTAATGGTGCTGACACAGCCAGTTCTGAAAGAAGCCTCTGCTCCGTTGGAATAATATCCTCATTTATCCCTTATTAAGATAAATCTACATGTCTCAGTGGCACCAGCAGAGCAGTTTGAATGCTGTTCTAAGGAAGTTCTCAGGTAGTGTTTCTTTTTAAATAAGCTTATTTGTGTCCTTTCAGTTTTGGTTGAAAGACTTTGTGGATGCATTGACCTTAAAACCTCTTTCATGTTGTCAGTCTTCAGATGCTGAAAAATTAGTCACTGACAAATATTACTGTTTTTACTAGTGCATACTAGTATAGTCCTGGAAGGTAAGGCAACAACGTCCAAGTCAGATGCACCTTTGGGAGCGTTGAACTTATTATGCACATTTACAACCCACTGAACATTTTTGCTCCAATTTCTTTAAGATTCCCTTTCCCCATTTCAAATGCTGCCCTGCCTGTGAAATTCATTGAAGTTGCCACCTATCTCTTGAAGCGCTCCCATATTGCCCCTGTTGTGAGTCATCATTCCTGGCTCTATACTTACATTCTATATATAAGAAAATGTGTTTATTATGATTTTGTCTGCCTTTTCTTCTATTACAGTGACTGCATTATCTTTGTACCTTTTATAGTATCCATCCCTGTATCATGTAAATTGTTAGTCCTCAATAAGTGCCTATTGTATAAATCAAAATGAGAAAAGATGCCGTATTTCTAGAATGACAATTTTCAATCAGTGTACAATAAGAATTGTTTAAACTTGCAATACCTGAATATTTAGTCAGAGGAACTGAACTCTTTTCCCTTAGATTGTCAAATGAAGAAAATGACAACAGCCCACACAATAGCTATCTGGTATGAATACCCTGTCTTGTAATATGCAAATTAACCATCACTCCACTATACCCACAAGCCATGCCCACCAGCCATGCCCACCAGTCAATCAGAGCAAGTATGCAAATAAACCCAACCAAGATGGCTATGACCTTAAAGAGCAGGAGGGAGGCTTGGGTTTCCCAGGCAATGGAGGAAACCAAGCTTTCCGCCTGCCCTTGTCAGCCTAAGCCTCCACACAAGGCTACAAAGTTTCAATTATAGAAGGTAAACAAAACCATACAGAAATAGCCGCAGCCATGGAGCTGGAGAGAGCAGATTAGGGTTGCCCCAGCAACATTGGAAGCAAAACTTTCATATACCCTGTCCAGCCCAGGCCTCTGCTTAAGGCTACAAAGTTTCAATTATAGAGGATACATAAGTCCCAATAGAAATGGCTGTGGGCCACAGAATGAGCAAGAGGCTTGGCTCTGCTCCAGGCCACAAAGTTTCAATTGTAGAAGGTAAATAAATTCCAGATACCAGGGCCTCTGCTTAGGTCACCAGGGGGCATGGCCAGCCTTCAAACTACCACAGGCCCCTCACTCAGACTGCCCCATGGCCCAAGGGAACCCCCACCCTGATCCGGGACACCCTTCAGGGCAAACCGGCTGGACCCCACCTGTGCACCAAGACTCTATCCTATCTAATAAAAGAGTAATATGCAGATTGACCATCACTCCAACACACAATATGGCTGCCTCCATGTAGTCAAAACTCCTGCCCCTTTGTGGACACAAGATGGCCACCACAAGATGGCCAGCAGGGGAGGGCAGTTAGGGATGATCAAGCCTTCAGGGGAGGGCAGTTAGGGGTGACCAGGCCGGTAGAGGAGGGAAGTTGGGGACAAACAGGCTGGCAGGGAGCATTTAGACATCAATCAGGCTGGCATGGGAGTGGTTAGGGGGTGATCAGGCTGGCAGGCAGAAGCAGTTAGGGGCAAGCAGGAAGGCAGGCAGGAGAGCAGTTGGGGGCCAGCAGTCCTAGATTGTGAGAGGGATGTCCGACTGCCTGTTTAGGGCTGATCCCACTGGGATTGGGTCTAAACAGGCAGTGGGATATCCCTCGAGGGGTCCCAGATTGGAGAGAGTGAAGGCTGGGAGGGACACTCCCTGCCCCATGCACGAACTTTGTGCACCGGGCCTCTGGTAGGTTATATAATAGAGTTGCATTTTAATGGTCATGTTGCATAAGGTGGCATCTGATTGGTTAATTCCTTATAAGTAAAATATATTAAAAAAAAAAAAAAAAGAAATCCTTATATACAAGCATTGGCACCTGATTTTTTTTTTTTTAAGTCATTGGAGCAAAAAGGTAGGTAATTACTATTATTTTTTAAATCAATCAAAATTATTACTATTTTTGTCAGTTCTGCAAAAAGTGTATGTTTTTTAGTGTACCGCATAATTTTAGTAAGTAATTTACTTGTGCAATGCGATGAAAAAGGTTGAAAATCACTGTTGTAGGAGATATGACTATAACCTTGAATCTCAAAGAGGCTGAATGACTTCTCTCTGTGTTTAGAGATGCGATGTATGAGAGAATAATGAGTGCTTTCTTGACAAGTAGGATTGTTGTTTCCCACTCATTAATTCTTATCATTTTCACATCTATTAGAGGAGACTACACTTTTACAAAGGTAAGAAAAAGAATCAAAGTATTTGATTGGTGCTGTACACATAAATTCATGTCCTGCCACCCTCCTCACACATGAAAGTCTCTACCAAACAGTACTTGCCATTTTCCCTATTTCCCATGTTGACATGCAACTCTACGATTCATACATGCCATTAAGTCTGGATCTTTCTTTTCCTGCCTGTCCAGTGATTTTTAAATGTTAAGACACAACTCATATGTTACTTCCCAATTCACAAGAATTAAAGGATTATACCTTTCATAATGCTATCAGAATACTCTAGGTAGTTCATTTATACAACTGTTCCATTATTTTATACTTTTGGTTTTCACACCTGTGTTTTTCTTTAGATTTAGTTTTGCATGCCTGTGAGTTCTTCTGGGAGATGAACCATGAATTATTTTTTATCTATAAAGCCAGGCTCTTTCATGGGGCCTGAAACATTGTCCATATTGAGTAACTAGTTAATGAATTGGTGATTTTTTTCAATAATAAAAAGCTTTTATCACTTCAATATGCAAAGTATCTTACTAGGCACTGTTAGAGAATAAAAATGAGTCACACAAGATCAAATGTTATACAAGCATCCATTAGGGGGATAGCGGATATCAGGATGGAAAGAATAATTGAAGCAGGACTGGAGTTGTGCTTCAAAATATAAGAATTTCAATGGACAGAAAGTAAGTGGGGAAGGGAGTGGGAGAGACAAGACCATTCCAGGCTGAGGCAATAGCAGCTTATCATAAAATGCTTTATTGAAATGCATTAAAGGTAAACCTATTAAATGTAAATAAAAACGGCATGACTTTAAAGCAAATAATGCATAATAGGTTAAAATAGATTAAAACTAGAGACAGCCCTCTGTGAGTCCAAATGGGTTTAGTGTAGTTTGAAATTAACTTTAAGTGCAAAAATTCAGACAAGTTGTCAAGGAAAATAGAATAATATTGGGATGGCATGCCTTAGCCTCTTATTTATTTTTCTTTATTGATTAAGGTATTAAATATGTGTTCTTATCCCCCCATTACTCCCTATCCCCACCCCTCCATGCATGACCTCACCTCCTTAGTGTCTGTGTCTATTGGTTAGGCTTATACATGCATACAAGTCCTTTGGTTGATCTCTCCCCCTTATCCTCACCTTCCCCTACCTTCTCTCTGAGGTTTGAGCATCTGATTGGTTCCTCTCTGTCTCTGGATCTGTTTTTGTTCATCAGTGTATGTTGTTCATTATATTCCACAAATGAGTGAGATCATGTGATATTTATTTTAGCCTCCCATTTAAAGTAACAAGTAGCTGAGCATGCATGTACCCTTTGGTATGAATATATGTTATTAATTCTACCCATAATTCAGAGTCATTATTAGAGCTTATATTTAATATCTGCATTGGGAATTATGATATATGATTAACTTCATGTTTTAAACTCTAGGGTTAGTACCTCTGTGAAAGAGAGGATGTATACTCTCCCTCAACTAATTAAGCTGAATTGAGGTCCTTCAAAATGGGGTGATGAGCATCTCTCTGGTTTTCTGGAGGAGCATAAATTCATGCTGTAGCCAGGAAGCCCCAGAGGAGGTAGGTTACTGGTGCATGGATTTATCATAAATGATTGGCACACTATTCATCAATAACCCAGAGGAGAAACTGAAGAGAAGGGCCTGGAATATGCAGAATGGCACAGAGGAACTTTAAAACATTCTGCCTAAGAGTACATGTGAGGTAGATAGGCAGAATCCAGAGAGTAACTGAAGTAAATGATGGATCTAGAAAAGTTTCAGACTTTGGAAGAAGATAGCAGCAGAGCTACTGGTGACATAGCAACTAGAAACTGTTCGACTGCTGAGTCTTTGGATGAGCCCATCTTGTTCAAGTATACTTGGGCTGCGCCAAAATTTGTTACCAATAGAATATCACACTTATTCAATAATTTATCTCCTAAATAAAATAAACATAAGACCATTCCTAAAATAACATTTCACTCAATGCAAGACAGGTTGTGGAGTTGTATCTAGAATAATGTGCTTTATAAAAAAATATCTTTATTGATTTCAAAGAGAAAGGGAGAGAGAGAGAGAGAGAGAGAGAGAGAGAGAGAGAGAAACATTAATTATGAGAGAGAATCATTGATCAGCTGCCTCCTGTACATCCCACAGTGGGGATCGGGTCTGCAACCTACACATTTGCCCTGATCAGGAATAGAACAATGACCTCCCAGTCAATGCTGAACCACTGAGACATGCTGGCCAGGCTGGAATACTGTTTTTTTAATATCAGTGGTTTTCAAAGTGAGCTCTCCAGACCAGCTGGGATTGCCATCACCTGGAGACTCTCGGTGCATAGGAATTTGTGCACTGGGCCTCTAGTGTTCTAATAAGTCCTCCAGGTAATCCTGATTCATCTGAGAACCACTGATCTACAAGTCTGTAGTGACTGCCCAATGTGGATGTACTTTTAGAACATGCTAAAAAGTACATTTATGATTTTCTACCAAAATGTTAAACATATAACACTAATACTTTTATTTATCAGAAACTTTGACTTCTGCTTAATAAGACACCATCCCCTTTCTGTGCAAATGCTGGAAGTCCATTGCACTTTTCTTTGCTGAAGTGAGCCACTGGAGAGAAAGAGGAGGGACATGGTAATTGCAATTTTCTCAGACAGCTATCACACTAAAACTAGAAAGGCAATTTGCCATTAACAAGCCTAATGGCATTAGAGGCCCGGATTTAATGGGTCATCTCCTCTGACAACTCCACAGATTTGGCACTTAGCTGCACAAATACACAGCCAAGAAAAGAAGGTTGTGTGTTGTTGTTTTTAATGTAAAATTTCCAATTAAATGTTTTTAAATGAAACCTTCTGATTAAAAGGGAAAGTCTCAAGCAAATTAGAGACTTACTTAAATTATAAAACTCAATTTTCCCCAATCCAGGCTAACCACATCAAGTCAATCTGATGATAAAAACTGAAACATAGTATGGCCTCAAAAATTGAGTATGCAAGCATAATTTTCATTTGTGTAAGAATGATACAAACACCCTCAAAATGCCCTTGAAGGTTTCCTGTGGGTATACCATACTACATGAAGTCAAAGGCTAAATGAATTCAGTCCTCGAGTGTTCTCTAGAACTGGAAAATCCAGTGTTTCACTGCAGCTAGAAAATGGTTATTTTTAAATTTGCCCAGTGAAACTCTCCTGATTATGTGCATGCAAATCCCATTAAAGTTCAGAGACACAGCACATGGAATCAGGGAGAGACATGCAGCCCCCTAATGTTTTCTCTAATGAACTCTGACTCAGCAGGAAGGGACTAATAACTATGCAGCTTAGAATCTGTATCAGAATGCTTTCTCTGTGTAAGGCTATCTGGTAGCGGTGCGACACAGGGTATATACCTTCTGTTTGAAGATGAGGGCAGGGATATTTCTGCAGACTGATATTTGAATGTGAAACTAAATTCCAAGCCTATTTATGGTCAAAGGATATTAACAGATGATTCTTCCAAAGTAAAAGCAAACTTGATATTTAAAATGAAATAACATTTAAAAAATACTAACAGATGCTTTTTAATTAGAGGGGGGAAAAGCATGATAAAATCAAATAGACTAGTACTTAAGGTTACAAGGATAACACCATATCTTTTTTTTTTTTTTTCTTTGTGTGAATTGGATAGAAATTTGACTTTCTTTCTGGGAAATATTCTGGCAATGTTGCAATGAAAACTGCAAAGTATTTTACATCTTTCATCTAAAAATTCACCATTAGCAATTTATATTAAATAAATAACTCAAAAATTAAATAGATAAAGTATGTATTGTGGTAACATTTGGCTCTTGAACCCACAACCTGGGTATGTGCCCTGACTAGAACAACACTCTTACCTCTGATCCACACTGGCCAGGGCTTGTCTCTATCTATCTTTATATATATATATATATATATATATATATATATATATATATATATATATATATATATATATATATATATTGATTTCAGAGAGGAAGGAAGAGGGAGATAGAAACATTAATGATGAGAGAATCATTGATTGGCTGCCTCCTGCATGTCCCACACTGGGATCCAGCCAACAACCTGGGCATATGCCCTGACCAGGAATCAAACTGTGACCTTCTCATTCATAGGTTTGTACTCAACCATTAAGCCATGCCTGTCTGGCTTGGCTCTATCTTTCTAATGCAGCCAGATCATTTTTTTTCAACGTTATATTCAAGTGTAATGGCAAAAATAAAGAGTATGAAATGCAATTATTTTTTTCATAAATTGAACACACATATATGATCAGCATCCATATTGAGGCACCCACCATTACAAGCATATGAGGTGTTCCCCTCAGTTATTCTTCTATTGACAGCAGTGCATAAGATGAACAATTCTGTGGGCTTCCAACAGAGATAAGTTTGCCTGCTTTTAATTTTCTGTAAATTAAGTCATGTACTCCCTTAAACCTGGCTTCCTTTGCTCTCCATTTTGTTTATGAGAAAGACCCATGTTGTATCTAATTGAAATTTGTCATTTTTATGGCTATCTAGTATTCCATTGGATAGATACACAATAATGTTGATGAGTATTTCAATAAAGACTGCTGCTATAAGTATTCATGTACAATTTAAAAAATAAACATAAATATGCATTTCTGTTGGATACATACCTGAGCATTAAATTAGGTTGTATGTTATTAAACAGTTTTCCAAAATGTTTATAGAAATTTATACTCCTGAACAGCAATATAAAACATTTCTAGTTATTCATTACTTAACTAAAATGTAGTATTATTTCTTTTTAGAACGAATCAATTTTGACAGTTATGTAGAACTATTTATTATATTTTGGCTTTAACATGCATTTATTTTATGATTAAATGTTGAGCATCTTTCTATTTAACTATCTTTTTTTGTAAAATTCTTTTCAAACCTGCTAATTTATCTACTGTCATTTTATCATTGTTTTGCTTTCTATATTTTAGACAAAAGGCCTTTATCATATATGTATTGCAAATAATTCTTGCACTCAATGTCTTTCCATCTCATTCTTTAAAAAATGTCTTTTAATAAACGTATGGTCTTAATTTTAATTTTCTGATTAAGTTATTTTTTGTCTACCAATTTTTGTGTATGTTTGTAATAAAAGCATATCTCAATTCACCAACAAATTCATCTGTATTTTCTTCTAAAACCTTTATTTTTATATTATATTTATATCTGCAAATAATCTATTTTAATTTAATATTTGTGTATCCAGTTGTGCCAGTTTTATTTATTAAGAAGAATAAACTTTCCCCCACTACACTGTAGTGTTGCCTTTGTCACAAATGAGTTGGCCGTATATATATGGTTTGGAGTTTCCATGTATTATAACTTTGGTCTCTCTTTAAAATCACCTTGTCATTCTTTGCTGTTTATGTTTTCATATAAATTTAGAATCAACATTGAATCACTCTCCACTAAAATGAACTTTTAGGGTTTTGAGGTTCTGATTGACATTGCTTTTTAATCTATATATCAATTTATAGGAAATTTATAGCTTTATGTTTTATGTCTTCTAATACATGAACACAAAAAACTCATTTATTTCTTTAGGTTTTCTTTCATTTTGTCTATAATGTTTTTTAGTTTTCTGGTATAATCTTGTATATTCTTTGTTATGTCTACTTCTGAGAATTTTTATGCTATTATAAATAGTATCCATTTAAAAATTTATTTTAAGTGTTGTCACTGTGCTTCAATATTAATTAACCTTTATGGACTTTGTGCCCAGCAATCTTATTGCATTCATTTATCATTTCTAATACATACTAGTAGTTTGTAGAGATCTTAGATTTCTTACAAACAAAAGAATGTAATCTGTAAATAATGATAAATTTTTTATCCTTTTCCATGCTTATGCCTTTTATTTTATTTTCTAGTTGTATTCTAGAATCTCCAGTAAAGCATTGATAAGTAGTGTACCTGCAAGCACTCTTATATTATCAGAAAGCTTTCATTAATTCATCAATAATGTGATACATGCTATATGATGTCTTTAAGATTCTCTTTATCAGGTCAATATAATTGTCTTTTTAATTTTCTAAAATTGTATATTATATTTACATAAAGTTAACTTCCACTAATATTTCCAGAATTTTGGAGAATGCAATATGTACTTTTACCTCTCCTTTGGCATGTTCCCAGTATATAAAAGACAAAAGTAAAGTGAAAAAAATGTATAAATTTATGACATCAACATTTTTTCTTAAATTTACCATCAACAGATTAGCAGTCTAGAGAACATGTTCCTATTTATTCCTATAGAGATCACTTTAATAACTTTAATTGTGCCAAATTATTCTCATTTTTAATTTTCTAATTCTTATTACTGAAAGAATTTCAGTATTTTTCCAATGAGTTTTAGTTTTATCAGCATTAAAATTAAGATCCTCATTGACTATTTTTCCATAGAACTAAATGGAAAAATGTATTTTCTCTATAAATGTTATAAACCTAGTTAAAGAAGCTAAAGGAAGACCTAGCCATGTGAGATACTGACTCAGACTTTTTGGAGTCATGGAAACAAAACTTTGCATTTTAAGTATATTTTAAATTGATTTGAATAAATAGACAATTTTTCATTCACAGAGATAACCCAAGTTAATTATTATCATGAGATTTAGGATTATTTTCTCTAAAGTAATTAGAAATTTTAAGATTCACTAGCATGTAAGCTTGCTATATTGGTTCCTTGTTGTGTATTTTAAAATGTCATTAAAAGAAAATGACTTGAATTTCAATGAAATTCCAATTTGCTGTGTCCTTACTCTGGTGATTTTCAAAATTGCCTTGGCTTCATGCCAGCTTATTAGTGACAGACTTTCTTGCTCAGTAATACTAGTATAAAAAATACTTTTTAAAAAAATATATATTTTATTGATTTTTTTACAGAGAGGAAGGGAGAGAGATAGAGAGTTAAAACATCCATGAGAGAGAAACATCAATCAGCTGCCTTCTGCACACCCCCTACTGGGTATGTGCCCGCAACCAAAGTACATGCCCCTGACCAGAATAGAATCTGGGACCTTTATCCACTGAGCCAAACCAGTTTCAGCAAAGAATACTTTGATGATAGATTCTTAGATTAAGAAAAAACTAGATCTTTATCTTGTCTGGATTCCTTTATATTTTACTAGAGGCTAGGTGTACAAATTCATGCACCAGTGGGATCCCTCAGCCTGGACTGCAGGATCAGGCTGAAACTGGCTCTCCAACATCCCCAGAGTGTCCCAGACAGCGATATGGCACAGGGAAGGCTGAGGGACCCCCACCGGTGCACAATTGGGGCCAGGGAGTGACCATGGGAGGATTCTAGGGCATGTCTAGCTCTATCTTGCCTAGTCCCTATTGGGGCCAATCAGGGGCCCTGCCCCCTGGTCGTCAGTGCATGTCATAGCGAGGCAGCTGAGCAGCCTTAGATATCATTAGCATATTACACTTTGATTGGTTGAATGGTCGACTTGTCAACCGGACACTTAGCATATTAGGCTTTTATTATATAGAACTGAATGGCAGAACTACCAGAACCACAGATTGACCAGTTGCTATGATGCACACTGACCACCAGGGGGCAGATGCTCAACACAGGAGCTTCCCCCTGGTGGTTAATGCACTACCACTGTGGGAGCACTGCTTGGCTGACAAGAGTGAGCAGCAGTTCCTGCTTTAAACCCCAGGCCAATAGGCAGGAAACCAGGCTGCTATCATTGCCTCCTCATCTCAGGCTCCTCTTCCAGACTGCAGTACCACTGCTGGGCTTGAAAAGCTGACCCCAGAGGCTGGGATGCTGGTTCATAGCCACTGAGGGACTGAGGTCTACTCTGCCACCTCTCAGTGCTATTTTCCTGAGGCCCAGCCTCAATCAGGTCCCTTGGAAAGGTAAGTGCTCTGGCTCCATAGAAGATGCTGGACTAGAGAACAGCTGCTCAGAGGGCAAGTCCACAGCTATGGGAACCTTAGCTGGCTGACCCCTGCAGGCCACGCCCCCTACCAGTGCACGAATCTCATGCACAGGGCCTCTAGTATAGGATAATTTTTGTAAACAAAATACTAGGGAGACCAATTGACCTATGCAAGGTGACAAAACCTGTAACAATCTTTATTTAACTTCAAACTGATAGCATTGAGATTTGTTTTATGAAATTCTACATGATAGTGAGGTAAGGAGGACATTTGGCTTTATGTTGCCAAATTTGAGAATCTTGATGTTTGAAGAGAAATAACAGTGTGAATATTTATTACAATCTTAGGCTCAGGACTACAACTGTGATTATTGCTACTACTGGAGCAATGCATATTCTACCTGAACACATATATACATAAAATACATTAAAATTGTGGGATAGAGGGGCACAATGGTAAAAAGGAAATGTGGAAAGAAATAACAGATTTTTAAATGTATTGAAATAAGGTGTAGCAGCTAAACATGTAAGCCTCATTTCTATTCTATTTTAATGCAGTGACATAATTACTAAATTATCTTCTTAGTTTATCTTTTTCTCTGAATTGGCTTTTACAAAATACTTACATATCATTGTGCTAACAAAAGAATATTCACTAGATAATATAATAGCCTTCCTTTTACTTATGCAGACTTCAAAGATATGCTGTCCTAACTCAATTAGGGGTGAGGGGGAGGAGAGGTGGGGATTTAAATTTTAATTATTCAGGTTCAAAGCAATGGGTTTTGTGGAGAAGAATGATATTTGAGGGATATAAGATAATCAGCAGATCAAACATTAATAAGTATTTGAATATTTTATTATATATTATAATAAAACATTTCAATAGGAATCTTTCTGCTCTTCTTCCACATTAAGAAAGACCAGTGAGCTGATTCAACACTGAAACTGTTTTCCTACTGATGTAGTGACCAACATTATGAAACAGGAGCTTGCATCATGCAACAGTGGTTACAATCACAAACATTCCAAAACAAGTTTCACACAACCAAACTATTCTTTTGTTTTGTTAATACTCACCCAAGGATATTTTTTCCATTGATTATTAGAGAGAGTGGAAGGGAGAGAGAGAGAAAAACATCAAGGTGAGAGAGATACATCAATTGGTTGCCTTCTGCACAGGCACTGACCATGTCCAAGTATCAATCTTGCAACTGAGGTAAGTGTCCTTGACTGGAATAAAACCTAGGACCTTGCAGTCTGAGGGCTGACACACTATCCACTGAGCCATAATAGCTAGAGCCAAACTATGCTTATAAGTATTCTCTTTGTTGTCCTTGCTTACCCTGTTATGAGTTATTCTAAGTTGAGCACTGATTGGACTAACATCTAACAGAAGCCATGCTTATAGATATGTTCATAGTCAAGTACCAGAAGATGAAAAGTTTGTCAGTAGAACCAATCATCATAGTCATATAAAGTCCAGAATATATAATTAAAACATAGACTCTCAACTCCATTTCTTATCTCCAGATGTTCAAGCAATATTATGGACATTTACAATAATTAAATAATATATCTAAGCTTAGTTATTTTTAACTAATTTTCAAAGAGTATAAAAGTAATCAAAAGTGATTACAGTATATTACACTGTTTATTTTGTGCTTTCTTAATCTTAGAATTTGACAATCTATATCTGTATAACATTACCTTTTAGACCATCCAATCAACATAACAATACATAAAAAGTTTTATTTTAAAAGGAGGTAATGAGAACAGAGGTATAGTTAAGCCAATTAATAACCCCTTTAGAACATTTCAAGAAAACATTATTTAATGATTTATGTCGATGTTTGAATACTTGCTAAAATTTCTTCACATTTATTTAGGATAATTTTTTAAACAATTGCTTCACTGACTCTAATTGTTGAATTGATTATTGACATTCTCTTTCCTGAGATGATCTTATGATTGATTTTATATAAATACTAAAGGCCCGGTACACAAAAATTAATTCTCTCAGGGGTACCTCAGCCTAGTCTGCACCCTCTCACAATCTTGGAGCCCTCAGGGGATGTCTGACTGATGGCTTAGGCCCACTCCCCACCAGGAGTGGGCCTAAGCCACAGTCTGGCATCCTTCTGTGGAAGGTGATCAGGTGGGCTGATCGGAGGATGGTGCCAGATGGGGCCCTGCCCCAACTCCTGATTGCCCTTCCACTGCCGCTGGTCTCTACTGCTCCACAATTGCAGTTCCCTTCATCATGCCTTGGCTGGCCTGGCACTGCCTGCTCACTGGCCCAGCCCTCCACCACTGGTCATTCTGCTGTTCCATTTATTTGCATATTATACTTTTATTATATATGATAGTCACATTCTGACCAATAAAAGGCTGATAAATAATGTGACTGAGGTGGCAATTTATTAATTGTTCAAGGCCAATTTGTTCTACTGACAACCCCTAGATCTTATGGCTTAATAATAATAAAAAGTTTATATGTACATAGTTAATTACTATAGCAAGAGACATTGTTTACAATCATAATATTGTCATGGATATTTTAAAGCCTAATAGAAAGTCATTAATTCTACCAAGAAATATTGGAAGCTAAGAGGCACCATTAACAGTAAGAGTAAAATAATAAGTGATAGTAATATAGCTGCGGAAAATATATTTATAACTTTTACTTGGAGTTGCACCAATTTTTGGTTCCTAAGACCAACGGATAACTTCTATCCTTTAAAAGTTTGAAAAAGCCGTAATTTTAAGTACGGTCACATGAGTTAGTAGCCCCTGCATTCTTTTTCGGTAAATAAGAATTATCATTTTCTACTTAAAAGAAAATTTCACAATAAATCATAGGAGAAAATATTTTGAAATCATGTAGTTAATAAGGGCCTACTATGCAGAATATATAAAGAACTCAACACAAAAAGATGGATAACCTAATTATAAAATTAGAAAATGATTTAAACATTTTCCAAAAAAGATAGAAAAATGGTAAATAAGCATGTGAAAAGATGCCCAACATCATCACCCACTGGGGAAAACCTCCAATGAGATGCCACTTCACACTCACTAGGCTGAATATAATTAAAAATATGAATAATAACAAGTTTTGATAAGAATGTAGAGAAATTTGAATCATCAAACACTGCTGATGGGATTAGAAAATGATGGAGTCACTATAAGAGTTTGAGAATTTTTAAAGTTAAACGTAGAGTTACAATATGCCCTATCAATTTCACTCCTAAGTACTCCCAAGAGAACTCATAACCTATGTCTACACAAAACTGATACCCAAATGTTATTATTATTTAAATGGAAATAGCTAAATGCTGACTAACTGATAAACAAAATGGGCTTTACCTATATTAATGAAAGGGTAATATGCTAATTAGACTGGGAGACCTTCTGGAAGACTTTCTGGATGTCCTTCCAAAGTCATAGTGTTGGGGCTGAGACCAGAAGATATCAGGCCAACAGGGGAGGGAAGTTGGAGGCGAGCAGGCCAACGGGTGTGGCAGTTGGGGGCGAGCAGGGCGACAGGGGGGAGATGGGGGTGAGAAGGCTGGTTGGGGGGCATTTGAGGGTGATCAGGCTAACACGCAGAATTCTTAGGGGCAATCAGGTAGGCAGGTGAGTGATTAGGAGCCAGCAGTCCTGGATTGTGAGAAGGATGACCTACTGCCATTTTAGGTCCAGGGATTAGGCCTAAACCAGCAGTCGGACATCCCCCAAAGGGTGCCAGATTGGAGAGGGTACAGGCCAGGCTGAGAGACACCCCCCTGGTAAATGAATTTCTTGCACCGGGCTATTAGTATCTAAATAATAGAACATTATTTAGCCATAAAAAGAAATGAATTACTGCTACATGCTATAATATGGAAGAACTTTCAATCCAAAATGATGAATAAAAGAAGCAAGATATAATTGGTCACTTATTGCCCTATTGCATTTATATGAAATATTCAGAATCAGCAAATCCATAGAAACAGAGAGTACACTAGAAGTTGCCAAGGACATGGGGAAGAGGTGAAGGAGTTGCCAAGGACATGGGGGAGAGGTGAAGGAGTAGTAACTGCAAATGGGTATAGCTTTCTTTTTTAGGTGATGAAAATGTTCTGGAATTAGCCAATCATGATTGCACAACTTTGTGAGTACTAGAAAACATTAAAAATGCCTATTTGGAATAAATCTACACTAATAAAAGAGAAACATGCAAATTGACCATCACTCTGCTATGCCCACCAGCCAATCAGGAGGACATATGCAAATTATAAGGGCATAGATGGTTGCCACCCAGCTGCTCCAAGCACAAGTGGCTAGGCAGAGAAGGACGCTGAGTGCAATGAGAAGGAGGGTGGCGTGGGTTTGGGGTAGTTTCGACACAAAGGTATCTACAGGAGCAGCACTCAGGCTACAGCAAAGAAAATACTGAAACTCTGGAGTCTGCAGAGAAGACAAAGAAGGAAGACTCTGGCTGGAGTCTGCAGCAAAGGTGGCAGACTCTGGTCAGAACAAAGACCTGAGTCCTGGGTTCTGGAGTAAAACCAGTGCTAGAAGCCAAGGAAAGGAAGGCCTATTGCACAAATCTCTTCATGCAATGAGCCTCTAGTATTATATATATCTCAATAAAAACAAAATCATTAAAAGTGGATGATAAGGTGATTTGACAAACATACCAAATACTTGAAAATAGAACTAAAACCAGTCCGTATGATCTAAGTATAATGAAAAATCTCCCCATGTAAACAGTAAATCTGACCCAGGAAATCTCACTGCTAAGCAAAAATGGTAAGCAAATCTTATAATTTAGAAGCCCTGTCAAATGTTTCTTTGGATAGGAAATAAATCTACAAGTTTCCTTCAGGTTGGCAGGAACTCTGAATTAACTAAAATAAAATTGGCCTTAGGAATAGACTCTATTAATCTTTTATATTAAATTTTCATTACATTTTGGAATTTTGGCAAACAAATGAAAATGGTCTCTGACTTAAGGTGGCTTGAGTTACTATTTTTCAACTTTATGATGGTGTGAAAATACTATGCATTCATTGGGACCATACTTGGAACTTGGAATTTTGATCTTTTCCTGGGCTAGCACTATGTGATATAATACTTTCTCATAACGCTGGGTAGCAGTGGGGAGATAATTTTGTTCAGATGTACAGTAATGCAGGTGTTCAAGCACATCATTGAAGGTAGGTGAGGCTAAGCTATGATATTCAGTAGGTTAGGTGTTTTAAATGCAATTTGACATGGTATTTTTAATTTAGAATGGGTTTGTGGGAATGTAACACCATTGTACATTGAAGGGCATCTGTAGTGCATTTAGTTTTTCACTGAAGCCAACAGAGAAGTAAAAGTTTATTCTAATTTTCAAACTCACTCAAACTGAGAACATTCAACTAAGTAGTAAGAACAAATCACATCATGGCCAATTAAATTTTAAGGCTCTCCATGGAGTCAACCAAATGGCAACAGAGGAGTCTTCCAAATTTCTCTCCTCCGAAGGACACACTAAATGTACAGCTATACATGGAGCAATTCACTCTAAAAGAAATCAAGAAACTAGCTGAGTAACTCCTACACATAGAGAGAATGAAAAAATATCTACAATAAAACAGGCAGGAATGGGGCAGTTGATTGAACCACTCACTCTTAATAGTATCTTGTGAACTGGTTCCTTAGAGAAATGGAAACTTTAAAAACGTTTTTAATAAAGCACTCTAATCTAAATTCTGAAAAATATGATGAAGGAAATGAATCATAACATCATTTCAAAATAAGCCATACTACAAGATCTTCTCATATTTCAGGCATATTAAAAGTTTCTACATAGGCACATATATGATTTGCAACTCAATTCTTTTTCACTTTGTATTATATTGAAAAGAATTTTATATGTTCCTAAAATTATTTCAAATAAATGCTTTAAATATTATATAAAACACACACACACACACACACACACACACACACACACACACACAGGCAGGCAAGGCTGAGTCATGAAGAAAATGAAAATCTGAAAAGACTAATTACTAGTAAGGAGGTTAAATCAGTAATCAACAATCTCCCAACAAATAAAAACCCAGAACCAGATGAATTCACTGGTGAATTCTACCAAACATTCAAAGACCAATTAATATGACTCCTTTTCAAACTCTTCCAAAATATAGAAGAGGAGAGAACACTTCCAAACTCAATTTATGAGGTCAGGATTACCATACCAGAACCAGACAAGGCACACAAAGAAAAGAAATTTGCAGGCTTATGTCTCTGATGAACATAGATGCAAAAATCCTCAACAAATATTATCCAAACAAATTCAACAAATATCATCCAACCATATTCAACCACAATTAAGTAGGATTTATGCCAAGAATGTAAGAATGGTTCAACATCTACAAATCAATCAATGTGATAAACCACATTAACAATATAAAGAAAAAACAACAACAACAACATATGATCACTTCAATCCATGCAGAAAAAGTAATACTTGACAAAATTCAAATTCCATCTTTTTTTTTTTTTAATATCTCAACTGGGTTTAGAAGGAATGTACTTCAACATAACAAAAGCCATATGTGATAAGCCTACAACATACTCAAAGCTAACAACATACTCAAAGGTAGAAAACTGAAAACTTCTTTTCTAAGATCAGATAAAAGACAGGGACTCTCACATTCACTACTTTTATTCCACATAGTATCAGAAGTCCTAGCCAGAGCAAGAAAAACTAAATAAACAAATAAATAAATAGAATCCAAATCAGAAAGTAAGAAGAACAATGGTCTCTGTTTGCAAATGACAGTATATTAAATATACAATAGAAAACCTAATATATCCACCACAAACTGTTAGACCTTGATATCATAGCAAAGAAAACAAGCAAAAATAAATAAGGAGACTACATCAAACTTCTGCAGTGTAAAGAAAACTAGCCAAAAACTAGCCAAAATACTTTAATATACATTTTTCTTAAATAGTCATACAAAGCCAACAAGTACAAAAAAAAAAAAAAGTGTTCAACATCTCTTGGAAATGTAAATCAAAAACATACTGAGATATCACCTTATAAATGTTAGGATGTCCATTTTCAAAAAATATAACAAGTGTTGGGGAGAATGTGGACAAAAGGGAACCCTTGTGCACTATTGTTGGGAATGGAAATTGGCACAGTGATTATAGAGAAGAGTATGTAGACTTCACAAGAAATTAAAAATAGAACTACCACATGATTTAGCAATCTCACATCTAGGTACATTTCCAAAGGAAATAAAACTACTATCTCAAGAAGATACTGTACTTGTATGTTCATTGCAGCATTATTCATAGTAGTCAAGGTATATAAACAACCTAAATGTTTGTGTATGGATGATTAGATTTTTAAAAAATGTGAGGTATGTATATGCAAATGTACATATGCAAATGAGTATATATATAATATCATTTAGCCTTAAGTAAGAGAGAAATATGCCATTTGCAATAACATAGATAAACCTGAAGGGCATTATGCTAAGTATAATTAGCAATATGCTAAGTGAAATAAAAAAGAAAGACACTTCCCTGAGGAAAATTGAAATAAAAAATGCATTCATCAAACTCAATGAAACAGTAGAAAAGTGTTTGCAAAGGCCTGGAGGGTGGGGAAATAGGGAATGTACACTTTCAGCCATTAATTGAATAAGGCCTGAGGAGTTAACATATAACATGTTGACTATAGTTGGTAACAATGGAATATATAATTGGAACTTACTAAGAAAGTAAAACCTAAATATTCTCATACAAACACAAAAAAGATAGATATGTGAGGAGATAGATGTGTTAATTAACTT